ACGTTAAAGTTTTTAACACGTATTTTTGCACACTTTAGAGGATCGTGTAGTGAGTTACCGTGCCAACGCGAGCACCTCTTTTTCCGATGGGTTACCGAAATGGCGTCGCAATGGCCGAGTTTAAAATATATATATTTTTTCCAAAATTTTAGAATTGCTTCGTTAATACAGTATGTTTTATATAAGAAAARATTGTTGAAAAGGAATTTTGAACCCGAGGAAACTCATGTAGCACCCCCTAAGAACTCAAGTAACGGACCAATATATCACAATCTAAGCCATTGGTGAAAAAARTGCTTTTAAACATGGAATGTAAGGCAGGAGCTTATTGGAATTTAGCAGGACAGTGACAAAATGTGAATAAACTAAATTCAAAAGAGTGACACCCAGTATCCTAAAGTCATTATTTCTGTTAAATGTTCATTAAACTCGTCTCCACACAGGCGAAGAGCTTTACAAAATTTATTTTACTACGTTTTTTTCGAAACTTGTGCTTACCGGTAAGCCCATTGGTCCTTGGTCGCCTTTTTGTCCTTTCTCACCCTGCAAATTTTGCCAAGAATATAGTAAGTTATTAGAAATTTATGCTCCACTATATTAAAAAAAAAACTTGCTCAACTTGCTCAACTCACCGAATCTCCCTTGCGCCCATCCATGCCACGTTCTCCATGCTTACCTGGCTGGCCGGGTGGACCCATAGGACCGGGCGGTCCAGGTGGACCATAAAGCTAATTCACAAATAGAGAAGAAAATAAAATGAACAGGAATTATTAACTTCAAAATCAATTCAAAATTTCAATATCAGTTTTTATTAAACTTACATATTCAATGGTTGGCATATGTGGCTGATCGGACATTCCCTCATCTTGTCGCCGGCGCATTTTTCTATACTTCTAGTTGAAATGTGTGATCAGTATGCATATCGAGTAGCAATTGAAAGCAACATTATAGTATACTCACTGAATCACCGCGATCGCCCTTATCGCCCTTCACACCCGGATAGCCGGGTGGACCGGGCAGTCCTGGTGGACCCATCAGACCGGGCGGTCCAATATCGCCACGATCACCCTTCTCACCGGGCGGGCCCTGATAGCCAGGCAAGCCAGGCGGTCCCTCAATGCCCGGCTCACCAGGCAGACCGTCCAGACCACGTGGTCCCAGCGAACCAGGCTCGCCGGGYTCGCCCGCATCACCCTTAGAGCCATCACGTCCATCGCGTCCGTCTTTGCCAGGCATGCCCGGCGGACCGGGTGGCCCACGCAACAGTTGCACTGGTGGGTCGTCRTAGTCCTCATCTTTAGCGCCGCCGGGTCCGAAAATCTATTGTGAAAGGGGGCGTTCAGTTTGATTTGTTGGTTTTGTGGATTGAGTTGGGTGTGCATTCCATTTCGATTKGCAGTTGGTAGCRTTGCAGCAGCAGCAGCAAGGRGGAAGAGTAAAAATAATAATTTTGTGAAGTGGCAACTCAGTTSGTTGGCTTTTGAAAGAGCGGTTAGGCGTGTTAAAGTGCAGCGTWAGCGCGCGTGCGCGTTCATGTGCACCTGAGTRTATA